TTTTTTTTTTTTTTTTATGGTATATCAAAAAGTGTATCTTTTTTAAATGTGATTGTTGGTACATTTTACCAGTTTTTACCATACTTTCAAAACAAAAATTAAAATAGGAAAAATATGCAATATGAAAATAATTGAAGACAAAATGTGTTTTACTGAGAAAAAACAAGATTTGGTTTTTAAAAAGCCTTTTTCCAAAAGGTACATCTGGAAAAAGGGGGGGGGGGTCGTCTTATAATCAGGGTCGTCTTATATTCGGGCCAATACGGTATATCGGCCATCGGCCACCCTGCTTTCCAAGATATCGGCATCGGCTGTCAAAAAAAACTATATCGGTCGACCACTAAACTTGATTAGTTAACATAAACTAATAATTTAAAATACTTCTAAAGCATTTAATAATCTTAGTTGATGTTAATTGCAGCATTTACTAATATATTATTAAAATCAAATTGAAGTTATCTGTTATTATTATTTAATGGACCAAACATGGAACTAACATTTATTTTTATTACCTAACGTTACAGAAGATTAATAAACAAATATATTGCTCATTGTTAGTAAACGTTAGTTAAAACATTAACTAATATTAAGTAATAGGACTTTATTGTAAAGTGTTAGCAATTAATAGTTGCAAAAATAATAGTTTAAACAGGTTTCACCAAATACTCCCTCTTGCTGCTATTGGTCAGACAAACACATAATCCCGCCCTCAGACACTGCCATTGGTTGAGCCCGTGTTGCTATGCAATCTGCTGCTAACAGTTCAATAGGTGTGTCTTAAGTTACATACTTTTCTGAGTATGCACGATTCATTTTGTAGTATGTGAGTGTAGTATTGAGTTACTGAAGATTTAAAAATAAAAATATATTCCCAGATGATTCTGACTTAAATGCTGGATGAAAACTACATTGTATAATGTATATAGTATGTATCATCTGCGATGCAACTAATGTTTGGTAAGCTCCACAGAATTACAGTGTTTACACTTTTGGGTAAATCAACCTACAAATGACTTAGCTATAGGGATTTTTAGGCATTTCCCCCCCCAGCCAATTATTTTAACATCTAAAAAATTACACACTTCACCTTTATCAAGCATAGCAAGGATTTTGTGACAGCTTGTCTGTTATACATTTGCTGCGCTATTCTATGAACTGCCATTACCTGGGAAACCGCTATATTTCTGCTGCTTCGAAAGCGGCACCTGTTAACAGAGAATGAATTTGCGGTTTCAATAAGCCCTTCTGCTGTCTTTATTCAGATAAATGCAAAAAATGCAAAAAAAAACAACAGAGTTGTAAATGTGAACTGATGGATCGACAAGAAGCTAATGCATTATAAAAATCTAAACATTTAAGACAGTAAAATATATTTTTACTGTATGTTATTTATTTAATATAATAATTGATAATAATTGTTTAAATTAATATAACAGACAGGTTTGACACTAATCTATTTTCTTAAAAATTGTTTAAAGGCTGAAATGTGAAGTTTATCATTTTATAAAACTCTTTGTTTATGTAAAAACCTTTATCTGAACTGTAAATCATGCTTTTTACAGTTATTTAACAGATTAATATGTTACCATAGACATTGCCCTACCCCGCTCATACGGTATTAATTTTATTTGTGCAGGTCTTAAAAAATCTTAAATCTGATCTTAAAAATCCTGCAGATACCCATGGCAAATCCTGTGGTGTGAATTTTACCTGACAAAATCACTGGTTGATTAATTATGTTAAACTCTTGAAAGATCAGGAAGGGTGAAGATATATGAGACAGAAACTGCTGAGAGAATCGTTCACCAGTAGATTGTTATTTGTAAGTAATTAGTTTTGGATGACATTTATAGATTCATTTGAACGGTACAGGAGTCGGGACGAATTTGCTATTGCTGCTTGGGAGAGATAACGAGTTCTTGCTTTCACAAAAATTTATAAATGTGTGCCGCTTTCATTGGCCAATTAGAAACTAGCACAATATCGAAGTTTTCTCTGTGGGAGGTGTTGTGATGAAGTTCCTGTGTGCTGCAGGCACTATGCTAATACAACATCTGCCTAAACAGGCATAGCCATGGTAAAGAAAGCAATATTTTCATATGCATAAAAGCACATTTCAGTGTCAAACCTGAGCCTTTCATGATTATTCTATTATTCTAGAGAAGACATGTTGTGTATCTTTTTCGCCTTTACAGTGTCACAATCAAATCAATGAATATCTTCTGTTGTTTTTGTACACTTGTCAACCTTTGCCTAAAATATTCAGAGCGGTTCGTATTTTTGTTGTTTGCCAGGTCAATAGATTTGGAAATGCTGGGGAACATGTCTGATGTTTATGTAAATATCACAAGGAGGATTTGTCAGAGAGTTGTGTCTTTGGAGATAAATGACAGACACAAACTTTATACTGTTATAGCGTATTCTGCATCTCTAGTCTGATCATGTCTCAATTAAAATGGAATTCCTTGGATATTGTAGCAGTGTTTACGATAACGTAAAAGTTTATTACTTTGAGATGGGAATCATCCCGTCTGTCCGAAAGAATTGATATGACAGACTGTTGAACTATTGAAAATGGTGGTAGTGCTGCCACAGCAAGCAGAGTGTGCATTACTTTTCAAAAAGTCTGAGCTCTGTTTATAAATTAATCTGCTTTATACCGTGGTTAACTCATGTACATGTGTTTATCTTAAACATTTTTAGTGTTTTAAGCCTTTAACGCTTTTGTGTGTAGAACACTGATTCAGCATCAAGCTGTCATTACTAGTTCGAATGAGTCACTCAAGGCTCTGTTACAGACTGAAAAGCATCACTTTAACAGTAGGGGATGTTTTTATTCTGTTATTTGACATGCAAAGAAAAAAAAAAAATTTTTCTGTTTTTTTTTTCTTTCTTTCTTTTGCTGTGGTAGACTGAATCAGTGATTAGTAAAGTGGTATGACAATATCCAGCAACTTAGAACATCTGGCAACCAATCAGAATCAAGCACTCTTTAATGCAGTTGTATAAATGTTTAAAAAAAAAAGATAAATGATGCAGTTTGCATGATAATTATATAATATGCTCAACATGGTCATTATAGATTTAATATGTCTAGCTTGTTAGTTTGAAACCTCCTGAATTTTAATTAGTCGAAAAGTCAAGACGTAATTTTACAAAGGACTTGATAAAAACCTTATTAAATTAGTTATAATGAGCTGAAAATGTCTTCTGTTTTGCTCCTTTTCCAGAGCTGCCCACAGGCTGGGAGAAGATTGATGATCCAGTGTACGGGGTGTATTATGTTGAGTAAGTGACTCTTCAATATTACCTTCAAATCATCTTTAATATATGACCTCATCCCGAAACATCAAAGAAACAACCGCCATCTTTTAGATTGGGCCTGTTCTGTTTTGGCTGTATACACCCTTTGTTACTGTTACCATTTTGAAATCTTGTTCTCTCTCTTTCCCTCCCCTTCAGAGGGACCCTTGGGTTTGTAGCGCATAAATATGAATGCATTCATATGTTTTGATGTTCTTTCAAAGCAATACCTCTGAGGCAGAAAGCCTTCCGTTTTTTTGTCTCTGGAGATGTTTACGTATGTTTTGAGCAGTATTTGCCTAGTAAATTGCGCAGACCATTTGGAAAGTGGTCTGGATCGCAGCTGGGTGTGATCTGTATTTTTTGGTAAATGTTGTGAATGTGGTTTTATTTTTGCCTTTTGATCTGTGTGTATTGAGCTTGTCTAGTCGGGTGGAGAGATTTTGCTTTTAAGCACATAAGATGAGAGAGAATAGCACATTTTTTAAAAATCAATTTTAAATGAATTTTAAATATATTCAGAGGCTTTCAGCCATAGTTTAAGCCGCTGTTATTGCCTTTTCTCTGAATTAATTCACTTTATTTCTCGTCCGCTTACCTGCTCTCCTTCTGCTCAACCTTTACCTGCCCTCTCATTCTATTTCCTGTTTCTCCCCCTGGTTCTGTTATTGACTGTGTCCTCTGCGTACTCATCTTCACCTCTCTCTCTCCCTCTTTCTCCACCTCCCAGTCATATTAACAGGAAGACGCAGTATGAAAACCCAATTCTGGAGGCTAAAAGAAAGAAGCAACTGGAGCAGTCTCAGCCCGCTGAAGGTGAGCAGTATATCCAAGGTTCGTTTCAGGCCCAACATGCCGCCATTTTTTTTTTTTTCTTAAATGTTTGTGATTGTCCATGTTTGCCATTTAGAGTTTGTTGCAGCTTTGGTTTTGGAATGGTGGGATTACGGTTAATCTTTTCATGGCTTAAGTTTTTTTATTATTTCATTTTGCTATTTCACTGATTAATTTCTGCTGAAAACAGTGCTTTAGTTTTTTTTTTAATCAATGTAATTAATTCTTGAAAGAAAACCCCCCAATTTTTTTTTTGTTAAATATATAATTGTTTTTGTTAAATATATAAATAAGGATATTACTAGTTAATAACAAGGAGAAACCAGTATTGAAGTCTACATGAAATGCCATCTGCAACCCATTTTACTTCCATAATGTTTTTATTAAATATTTAAAAAATAGCCGTTAAAGTCAAAATGAACTCATTTACTTCCTTAAAAGGATAGTTCACCCAATAATTCTGTCACCATATACTCACACTTGTGTTGTTCCAACCCTGTATAACATCTGCGGAACACAAAAGAAGATATTTTGAAGGATGTTGGTAACTAAACCGTTTTGGGTACATACTTCTATAGTATGTACAAAAGAAAAAGAAATAAAAAGAAAGAAACTGATTCTGAAAGTCATACAAGTTTGAAACTCTACCTTTAAGAAAATGAATGGGGTCGATTATGAGCTCATGTTGACTTTAAAGGCTACTCATTCTATAAATGGTCTAGAAAGTTGTACTGAAATGCAGGTTGTCATTCTGGGACATGTCCTTGATCTTGTTCCCAGCCAACTCAGCTGAATATTGCTTTCTTGATTCCCTAATAACTTCTTCTCCCTCAAATTCAAGTATCTCATATTCTGCCACTGATTGTGATACAGTACTGAAAATAGTTTTACAACTAGAGGAAGTTAGGGCACCATAGGGGGCTCTAAAGGTCCAAAGCTGGCAGCTGAACAGCCTCAGTATTAGTTTGATTAGACAGGAAATGCGACTGGCTTGAGAGACACACAAAAAAGGAAGTGCACCCTTCCCTCTTTCAGAATGGATAGAGGAGCATTCGTCAGGAGCACCGCTAGCGAGCTATGCTGCTAACCACCAAGAGACTTACAGAGAACCTGGCACCGCCCCTCCACTAGCATCCCAACTGGGGGCTAAACGTATGTGCTGCCTACTTTTTTTGTTTGTAACACAAATACATACACACCTGTGTGTGGCGTATTCCTCTGTGGACATTCACTCACTCCTGTTCACTTTTTCCAAATCTTCCTTCCCTCAGCTCTCTGTCTCTTCCGTCCCTGTATTGTTTGAACACCTGACGATAAGCTGCTTATTTAAAGATTTAGCGAACACTCTTTTTTTAGTGGAAGTTATTGCATTGTCCCTCACGCTATTTGCCATTTCTCTCTGATGTCTTCATGTGGGCACTCGTTCAGTTTCTGTGGTGCTTTCTATAATGTCAGATACAAAAGATGCATTATGGTCAAAGTCAAGGATCTGTTGAATTAATGAAGAGAAATGCTGTCATTTCACAAGATTGTATCTGTAATGATTTGACGCATGTAAATCCAGCCATGGCTTATGCTCTAAAGAAAGAAAATGACCTTGGACCTTAAATTTATACACACACACATTTAGGATTATATACAATGGACAAGAGTCCATATTGAAAGTCTGGGATTCAAAAAAATCAAATTTATGTGTCCATATATACATCATGTCCAGTCATTTGCATTCAGTGTACAGTGTGTCTTTCTTCTCAGGGTAGCTCTGCAGTTTTCTCTGATCCTTCTGTCATGACAGACCATGATGAACAGATCATACATCATCTGTCTAGCCAATCACATTCTTCTTCTGTGCTTGCTCCTCCATTCTTTCCTCTCATTCTAACCTACTAACAGCACTTTTGTTCTGATCTAGGACTGATTGCCAGCTGATGCATCTACTAACATTCATTTTGCTGTAAATCTATGATAATGCAGAACACAGTTATTTCACAAAATTATTCTCACAATTACACGTTGGTAATTTCCTTACTGACAGCAATTCTAACTAAAAAATAAAGGAAGGTTTGTCTTTGATGTTGACATGACGGATTAAACTTTTAAATATTTGAAGCTTATTTAGATTATGTAGTTTGTATACTGTAAACTCTATAACGTGTTAAGATGGATGGATGGATAGACAGATACTGACAGCGATGGATGGATGGATAGAGAGAGAAAGAGAGAGAGACAGACAGTCAAATTGACAGATTTAGGTCATGTAGTACAAACAGTTTACAGACAGATAGACAGTCAGTTAGTAGAAAGACAGATAGACAGACATTTACAGACAGATAAACAGTCCATTAGTTAGTAGACAGACAGACAGTTTACAGACAGACAAACGGTCACTTGGTAGATAGGTAGACAAACAGGCAGACCTAAACAAAATATGCTGCTTTTGTCAAGCCAACTTAATAACAGTGGTTGGTAAAGTTAACTTTGTTGCACGGCTTCTTCTTGAAACTCAAAGTGTTCTTAAGATTTGCTGTGCTGTAATACACAGAGGTATCCATAATAATCTCATACAGAGGGGCCAACAGATTTACTTTCACATATTCCCATAGCTCACAAATAGCGCAATGCTTTTCTTACTGCAGGAGGGAAGCCATTTTTCACAAGAAACCCTGCAGAACTGAAGGGGACATTCATTAACACCAAGCTGAAGAAGAGTAGGCGTGGGTTTGGCTTCACCGTAGTAGGAGGAGACGAACCAGATGAGTTCCTTCAGATTAAGAGTCTGGTGCTTGATGGACCAGCTGCCCTGGATGGAAAGATGGAAACCGGTACAACTGAAAACTGTGGTCACATAACACATGTTTGAGCTGTAGTCTTTGTTCTTGGGCCAACACATGCTTTGTTTCCACAGGTGACGTTATCGTGAGTGTGAACGACACTTGCGTGTTGGGTTACACACATGCCCAGGTTGTGAAGATCTTCCAGTCCATCCCTATCGGCTCTATGGTCGACCTTGAACTTTGCCGTGGCTACCCCTTACCCTTTGACCCTGATGACCCCAACACCAGCCTGGTGACTTCTGTGGCCATTCTGGACAAGGAGCCCATCATCGTCAATGGAAAAGAAAGCTACGACTCGCCATCCAGCCACGGGAGCGGAACTACAGGTGGTGGCGGTAGTTTGAATGGCTCCAGTGACCCACCTCGCCCCCACAGCCCTTCAGCGGAGGTGGCTTCTAATGGCTCTCATGGTTATCCCAGTGATGTGGTGACATTGGCGTCTTCGATCGCAACCCAGCCGGAGCTCATTACTGTCCACATGGAGAAGGGTGACAAAGGATTTGGCTTCACAATAGCAGACAGCCCGTCTGGGGGAGGCCAGCGAGTGAAGCAGATAGTGGATTACCCACGATGCAGAGGTCTGAGGGAGGGAGACATCATCATGGAGGTTAACAAGAGGAACATGCAGAACCTGACACACAATCAGGTGGTCGATCTGCTCAGCAAGTGCCCCAAGGGCAGTGAGGTGACCATGCTGGTGCAAAGAGGTGAGCTCACAAGGAAATCATGCTTTAAAAATGGAGAAAAAGCGAGAAAAGATCAAAAGCATTCATTTATGGCATCATTAGACTGCACTGATATTAAAATTCTGACCGATACCATTAAGCATGAATTACTTTTATGTTATGGCTGATAACCAATAAATAGTCGATATTAAAATTCAATAATATTTTGTCTAAAAAAAAAAAAAAAGAAAAAAAAAGAAAAACTCAATTGCCAAAAAACAATCTGGTACTAATACACTACTGTTCAAAAGTTTGGGATTGTGAAGATTTTTACAAATGTTTCTTATGCTCATCAAGGCTGCATTTGTTTGATCAAAAATACAGTAAAAACAGTAATATTGTGAAATAATATGACTATTTAAAATAACCGTTGTCTTTTATATAAATTTTCAGCAGCCATTATTCCAGTCTTCAGTGTCATTCGATCCTTCGGAAATCATTCTAATATGCTGATTTGATGATTTTGATATTAAAAACAGTTGTGCTGCTTTGTGGAATCTACACATAATTTTTTGAAAGGAATAGAGTTAAAAAGAACAGCATTTAAAAAAAAATTGTAACATAATAACATTATAAATGTCTTTACTGTCACATTTGATCAATGCATCTTTGCTGAATAAAAGTATTAAAACATTTAAAGTATTTAAAAAAAAATCCTGCTGACCCCATACTTTTGAACATAAGTGTATACATTCCTATCAAGCAAACTATTTCATTTTGTTATCCAAGTTGTATCCTAGTTTAGATTTTCCCGCTTCTAAACGTCACATAAAACCATTGTGTCTGCTGTTTCCTGTTTAAGTGGGTGCTTTTTGGCCCTTTTTGATTACATATTTCTGCTTTTATAAATCGTGTAAGCTTCCTTTCTCACTTTTTGTCACTCTGCTCTTGTTTCTTCTGCGTTCCAAACCTGAGAATGTGAACAGGGTCCTGCAATGTGGACCTGACTTTATGCAGATTTTTAAAAGTCTTGCTACTCGAGTGTAGAGAAGGAAATATATGTAAAATACACCACAAACAAGGGAAGAATGAGGGAAGAGGCTGTTCAGTTAGTGTTCAGTTATTGAATGAGAGCGCGGGCACTACAGATGAAGAGAGAATGACAGGAAAGTGTCCAGACAGAGATAGTTTCAGGTGAGAGGTCTGTGCCGATCATGAATATGAAGCCTGTGACGATGACTTTTCCCTTGAGGGATGCCAAAATAAGCTGTCTGTTAACCCCCATCTGACATGTCCACACAGCTTTCTCTCTTTGTCTTGAATTTGGGTGGGGGGGTGAGTTGAGATGGAAATGTCAAGGTTACCTGCTTTTGGTGGAAAACCTCTGCCTAATACCCACCTCTCTGCTGTCTCTCTGACTCTTATAATTAAACAGGCAGGTTTTTTGCAGCTTTAAGATATATAAACAAACATTTTGTAAATAAATAATTTTTGTCAAAAAATAAATTTGTACAGAATAAGATAGCAGGACTGAAATGGCCTGTTTTATATCGATGTGGCTTACATACTTTGTTCCAAATAATTTTGAAGTATAACCAGAGACCAACAACAAGTGTTTTTTCTGCTATAGTTCAGATTTAAAAATAGAAATATAACAATAAAATAAAATATAAATCGTAAGCCACATAGATATAAAACAGGCCATTTCAGTCTTGCTATCTTATTCTGTGTAATTCATAAATTGCACAACAATTTATGTGACGTCAGTTCAGTATGCCATTACATTCTGGACAATTTGGCATTATGCTTTACCGAAATGGTAAGGTGGCAGCTCTATTGATGAGCCATAAAAGATGTAAGGACTGCACACACTTTTGTTTACATACTGGAAACTGTTGCAAATGACAAATGGGGATGTTTTAATACAACAGGCTCTGGCCTTGCAACTGGCATGCAGCAATTTCCTGGCCCTATTAAAAGCTTTTACACAAGACAGATAAAAGTGCTTTCAATTCATCAAATTAATAATCCGAGTGCCAGGCTCTGAATGAATGCTCTGAGAACAGACAAAACCGACTTTTAAAGCCGGTCCTGAAAGACCTGGGGATTTGTTTGCGCAAAACTCTTGGATTAATTCTCAGAAACTGCAACTTTCTATGAGAAGTAACTTCTTTCTTTAACAATCAGATGCTGGTATTCAATGTTTTCTCTCATTTTACACACAGACACACACACACACACACACGTCTCTCTGTTCTTCTTGGTCTGTCTCTCTTGGTTTCTTTCACTCTCTTTTGCTGTCTGTAAGTAGGGCTGTGCGATTTGGGGGAAAATATCAAATTGCGATTTTTTTGACAGATATTGCGCTTTCAATTTGATTTGCGATTTTAAATTTGCAAAGTCAAGCTTCAGCTCACTATTGTCAATAATGTGCAGCACAGTATGGGTATCATTACCCTACTGAAAAAAACAATAGAAACCATCACAGAAATTCTTATAGTTTCCATTAAACCATTACAAAATCATTTAAAGGATTTGCCACTGATGATTCAAACGCGAGTTTTGGGCAGTGTGGATTAACGTTAGCACTTGTTGTTTGTCATTTCTCTGATCACAAATGCAGACATGGTTTTATGTTTACTCGGCGCGATGCAACGCAGCGCGTAAAAAGACCGTATAAGTCATTATAATCAGTAATTATGTCCCTACTGGATGCAACAAATGCCTCGTTTGTGATGGGTTTTAATGTTTATGTCTCGTCGCTCCGGCCGGACACTGCATCAACAGTATGTGAGGGGCGTAACATTTCCGTCTCATGCTTGAGGTATTCGGCCAATCACAACGCACTGGATAGCTGGCCAATCAGAGCACACCTCGCTTTTTCAGACCGATGAGCTTTGTAAAAATCGACGCGTTTCAGAAGGCGGGGCATAGAGGAGAAACAATAATGTACAGTATGTGGAAAATAATGTGTTTTTTTTACTTTAAACCGCATAAACACATTTCATTACACCAAATACACAAAATAATGTTCTTTTTAGCAGCATCATATGACCCCTTTAAAACCAAACAAATTCCCATTATAACCCTGAAATCCATTAAATTTGTTATTGTGTTTTGGGAGGGGTTCTATTGTTTTTTTTTGCAAGTAAGACTGCAACTCAAGGCTGGCAGTCATGCATATGCTCTGGGTAACAGAGTAATATCGGGTCCACATCGCAGGCTTTGCGATTAGGAAATCGCAACGTCTCAAATCGCGATTTCGATTCGATTTCGATTAATCGCACAGCCCTAGTGGGTAATGATAATTTAATACTAAACTATGACTGTGTGTGGTGCAAAATACCTTAACTAACATTATAAGTGGGCTTCATGGTAAAAAGATAAAAACATTTATGTTAAAACCGCTTTAATTATCATTGGAGTAATCTAAGTTCACACCAGAGACGTCTCTAAATGTCTCTAAAATGTGAATGCATGTTTTAAGTATTCTCTGTGCTCACATGTCACCTTTAATTGCTGGCCTTGATGTCATGCAGCAAATCCCACCACACACAAATAAGCAGATACACACACACCATTCTTTTTCATCAACACTAACCCATCGCTGGTCTACCAATTAGAGTAGAGTCCGAAGAAAAATCAAATGGGTAGAAACATGATTATTGTCTCTTCATTCCTTTAAACACATATATACACACATATACACACAAATACTCACATGTTGAAATTGCAGCACGTTTATTAAAACACATTTCTCATTGTAGGAAATGCACATTGGCTCTGCTGGTTATCTGGATAATTGACTCATATATAGATCTAGATATAAGATGGTTTGACGTCACCTGAACTCTTAGCTTGTGTCCCTTTTTGTGCCTCTGGTCCAGCAGGTTAGGTTGGTGGTCTAAAAGCTTTATTACATCATTATTGGTACATTTTACTCACCTATTAATAGCAGGCTGTTGCACTGTAACACTGTGGTTTTCCTTAAATAACTATTCTGGGTTGAGTACAGGTTAAGCTCAATCAACAGCCATTGCAGTGTAATATTGATTACCATAAAAGTAATTAAATGTGAAAATAATTTAAATTGTTTAATCATTTGAAATAATTTAATTTTTTATTTGAAAAGTGAATGGGGCCAATTTTTTAAGTATTTTAAAGCAGAAATGTGAAGCTTGTAATTTTATAAAAGCAATTACATTATTTATTTTGTTAAAACGTGTTTATTATTTGAGCTCTAAAACGGTTTAAATCATAGTTTTTACAGTCATTTTAGAAGTTACAGCATTTTGTTGCTGTGGCAACAACATAAAATTGGAACTTTACACAGAAAAGGTTAGCGATTTTATTACACTAAAATTGTTAGCATATTGTTGACTTCTTTGGGCTATACTACTGAAATATTTAACATAAAAAAATATAGTATTGTAACATTTATGGATTATCCCCATTTACAGCTCCATTATTTTTTTTCAGAGGCCCTAAGGTCCATTCTGTCTCCCTGAAGTGTGTGTGTGTGTATGTTTATGTATTTACATCAGTGTGGAATCGCTATTGCTGCGACATGTAGAAGGCCATTTCTATCCTCATTGCAATTCCTCCTGCTGGTGTTTTATCAGAATTTGCCACTTTGAGAAAGAGAGTAAGGGATGCTCCGTGTATGGATAGTGTGATGAAATGAAAAGGTGCGTACTACTATCTGATCCGCTCCCTTTATGAGTCATCAATCAGCAATGACATCACACATCTCAATTTCCCCAGCAGATATGAAACTGGCTTCTACTCGGGCATCGGCTAGTCTGGTCTCATTAGCTGCTACTCCAAGCATCCAAATGAGTGTGTTAAGGCTTATTCCCACCAAGAGGGAAATGACAACACAAAACAAATCGTAAAATGTATTCACACCAAGAGCGAAACGCATTTTTCGGGCTTTTGTTCTCTCTGACTGCCATTGAGATGGCGGGGAATGCTAACAGATAGGTTTTTGCAGATATTGTAGACTTCTTAGGGAAAAATAGCTTTTGTCTTGTCCTAAAAAT